CCGACAGAATAGTAACTTTGGTGCCAAATTTCTGGAAACGTCTGAAACAATACACTGAGCCATTTAGGCAAGGAGGTCCCTGGGGAGCAACTTAATAAACCTGTTTTTTTTTTTAGCAATTACTAGTACGGAGACATTTCATGTCTAATAGCATTTCTACTATGATAGCAGGCCTCACACGTCTGGATTGGCTGTGTGTGTTAAAAATATAAACCTATAATATATCCACTTTGGACCCTGTAACAAATAAACCATGATGCCATACCAAGTCAACCCGATATGTTTTCTGACAGAATATATATCTTTCCCTGACATTTTCTAATTCGAGCTTGGTGTCCTGGAGATATGTGTGCACTGTATCCCAGAGACAATGCCTGTCTTTTGAAGTGTAGTAGCTATGAGGAGCTGGGGTAGCGCTAACACTCGCCAATTTAGCCAAATACTAAAACTGACTTAAATTGGCTAAAAAAAAAAAAGGGCTTGATTTGACTTGTTTTAGCCAAATTATAACCATTTTGATAACAAATTGACAAAAATGTGGTGATTTGGCTAAGTGAAAAAAAATTGCTAGCGCTATCCCAGAGGAGTGTTCACGATTCTGCTGCCAGTACTTACCTTCAAAAGCAGAACCGTCCAGCGTACCAAAGCGAAACTAACCTCTCTTCCAAGCTCACCTCTCCACACCAAGACAAAGTTCAGAGTCTACCCCAAAAATACAAAGCCCAATATATTACCTTCCAGACTCTTCCACCTAACCTCTTCCTTCGTCTTTTGTCTCCTTGCCCACGTAGCAGACCAAACCCTTTCCTGTGAGTTCAATGTTTATACAGCTCACATCACGGACCATGTAAAAGCAGCCTGTACAATTCCCCTCATTCAAGGCAGAGCAGTTCTATTAACAGGCTATGATAACATCAATACAGAAAATATAAAGTACACTGGCCTTATCGGAGGTGCAAAGGTCGGCAATCGGAGATAATAATAGTTGCACTGGTCATAGGGTTCACTTCGCCACCAGTTTGCTTGGGCCTGGACCTTTAAAGAACGTTTGCATTGGTGTTTATGCGATTTTAATCCTGGAGCCAACCTGGTGCAACTCAGTCTTAAAACATTTCTAAGAAATCTTAATTCATTTCACTCCATCTTATATCTAAGTCTCAATGCAGAATGACTGAAAAATCAATATTTTAACATTTCTGGGGTTTTGCAAGGATATATGTAGTCACTGACTAAAAAAATCCATTTTTCTATAAAAGATTACTAAATCCTTTCTATAAAATAAATGTTTAATTTGGCAATAAATCTATATTTACTTTGAAAAATCAACCCAATGGCTTGATGTATAATAATATCAACACGAAAAAGAAGAAGAAGAAGAAGAAGAAGAAGAAGAAGAAAATGGGCCGCACCAGGATTGACTGATCAAACCTGCTTCAGTGTAAACGTCCGGTAAAGTCCAGCGTTGCCCAGCCGTGGACATTTAAAACTGCCCCATGGCTACTAAGCTTGTTTACAAACACGAGTGTTAAGTAATTCCTTAACACTTTAGATTTCTAATCTAATACCTTTTCATTTTTATTACACAAGCACTTTAATTTCTATGTAATCCCTTCGCCTTAGACATTTCTCCTTTAATAAATGAGATTTCAAAATCTTTTCACATTTATCATAAAAGCACATTTGCTAATCAAATAATCCTTTTAGATCTCACTTTTATCAGGTTGAATCTCTTCTCAAATACAAAGAATGATCTTTAACGGCAAACTTTTCTCTACCTGAAACTCTTTTTGTGTTTGTATATAATGGCTCCCTCACATAATTCCACGCTGCTTATTTTTACAGGATGTTACAATAGAGACCAAAACCTTTTTTCTTGATTGTTGTGCAAGTACAAGCGTATTTGCTCTTACGGCTGTTTAATGTTTGCTTCAATTAACAGCCGTAAGTGGCATTACAAATTTCTTTGAACCGAAATGTTGGCAGAGTGCTAAGAATACAAAATATACTAGAGGCCAGAAGAAAACAAAAGGCGGCAACTATTTATAGCAGTTTTATGCTTCGATATTATACAGAAAAATTTAGTATCATAGCATCTATATATACTCATAATAAGACAGCAATGTCATTACTTCACAAAGGCTAAGACAACTCCCATTTTCAACAAAACCCATAATTTATTCAACCAAGCAAATGATTAACCAAAATATCCAGAATATGGTGCATATATATATATGTACATAAGCAGCATTTTATATTGATGTGTTAACCAGAACTATTATGCTAGTCAGTTTTGGGTCTGCTCTCTCTCTCTCTCTCACTCCTTCCCCCCTCTCTCTCCTTCCTCTCTCTCTCTCTCTCTCTCTCTCTCTCTCTCTCTCTCCCCCTTCTCTCTCTCCCTCTCTCTCTCTCTCTCTCTCTCTCTCTCCCCTGAATCCTTCTGAAAACGCATCTCTTTCTTAGAATCTCTTCACTTTTGAGTCAAACATTTTAGTCCTCCTTGTCATTTTTGTTGTCCCTATGCCTGTCCTGTTAACTTAAAACAGTCCTGAAACTCACTGACATGATGTTCTAAGGTATTAAAGTCATTACAGAGGACTATGAAAAATGAGTTGTGTAAAATTGTTTTTGNTCAACAGCCTGATAATATTGAGGTATTGGACCAGTTTCACACAAAAAAGAGGAAACTATTTTTGACCTATAGCAATTACGTACAATCTCAACACAGACTGCCACTAACCTGTTGGCAAGGTGAGAAGGGGGGGTTGGACCCAGGTGGGGATTGGGTCAATTAAAGGGGCAAAAAGGTCCAGATGAAGCAGACCCCTCCCCATTTCACCATCTTTCCCCCCTCTCCTTACAACACTATACAAGGGCAGATCCAGAGATATTTTCTGACAGTCTTCCAAATCATCTTTGTTGATCCATCCTCCATTTTTGACTGTCTTTCAACAGAAAAAATAAGATGCCCATCAACATAAAATGAACGTCTTCTGGAAGACCCATCAGCTCCTGTCTACTAGTATATAGAAAAACAAGAATAACAACCTCATATTTACATGAAATGCAAAAATTCAGTTCAAGGTAATATTCCAGGCCAGGGGATATCCTTGTCAAGTCTACTTCTGATGCAAACTGTCAGATGCCTGCCCCAGCCATTCACTGCATGTTCACACTAATTACCCTCTCATGATCTGACATGTACGCTGACACCACGCTGACACCACCCACGTCACTTGGAACATATTAAAATGAATACGGCTCCTTAGTCTGATTCTCAGTCCAAAAAAAAAAACCACTTTTTTCACATCAATTGTGAAACCTTGGCAATACAGCAGTACTGTTTGGAAAGAATTACAATTTATGGTCAATTATCATTATTTCAGATACATATGTATTTGGAACTGAAAAAAAAAAAAAATTACACTAATTGTTAAGTAAATAATTTTCCCTGTTTTCCCAACTGAAAAGATACAGTCATTTTTGCAGCAGCCTGACCAATACGTAAGAGAATCACCTAAATTGTTCAAGATGGTTCCTTTCTGAATGTGCCCATGGTGCCATAAAATTTGGTTACAAGTTGAATATAGAGGCTTAAATTCCTTATCAGATAATGGGCCAATCAAGCAGCAAAAAAATGGCAATTTTCAGCTGACGTTGGCAGTTTATGGTTACGATTCAGCACTTTATTACCCAGTTATATTACTGATCTATTGAAAAACTTGTTTATTCGTGACTGAATCCACCTTGATCTTATCCCAGGCTGAATATTAAATAAAATATTTTATAATAATAGCATTCATTTTTGATGACATTATACAAGTCTGAAAGACATCTTTAAGGGTCATTCCTCTGTGTGTGTGTGTGTGTGTGTGTGTGTGTGTGTGCCCACGTCCTCATACGAAAGATGCACATAAATAACCACCAACACACACACAACACACACACAACACACACACACAACTTTATATATATAGCAGAATGCACTGTAACAGAGCTGTAGAGAGATTCTTAAAACCATCTGTATAAATTTATTTCTCTGGCTAATTCTGTGCGTGATATATGTACTGTGACCTGTCACACAGAAAGCATGGTCACCACCCTGCAGGCCTCCGAGGCACCATTCCCAAAGAGATTTGGATCGATCTATCTCCCTGGGGAGTGTCACTAAATTGCTATCAAACTAACTGGCTTAAAAGTCTGTCACGCCTAGTAAAACTGTTAGGGGGTAATTATCTTTACCCCTAGCTGATTCGGTAGGCGTGACAGTCATTTAAGTCACTTGAGCTGATAACAATTTAGCGTAAATCCCCAGGGAGCTAGGTCGATCCAGATGGATCGATTTAAGTAAGGGAACCCAGTCTGACACAGAGAATCTACAGCCCAGTGCTAGTATTATCACCCTCATTATTTCCTACTGATAAAACAAAGAGGTGAGAGAAACACATCAGCTCCTCAATATACATCAACACCTGATAAATGTGTACATGGAAATCACCTCCCAAAAATTCTGATTGTACGGCCTCATGCAAGGACAGCCTCAGCAGCCTGTCACACCAAGCCTGCCTCAGCTTTTGAATCTTTGTGGAATCTGAGGCAGGTTTGACAAAAGGATTTTAGCTGCAAAAATATGACTAAATTTTAAGACCAAAATTTTGGTCTCTATTTTGACTCTAGACAGTTCAGCAGTAGTCTTATTTAATCAAATATTGTGAGTTTTATAACAAGATAGACTTGGCTTATGTTTCACACCAGTGGCCAATTTCACAAAAACAAAAAAAAACTTCCAACTCCAGAATTGGTCTAACTTTTAGACAAATATTTAGTCAACTTCAGTCCAAGATAAATACGTGGTGGTTCCCCCCAAGACATCAGGTATACTTTTCCTGTTACAAAACAGTTGCAATACTGTCTTCAATTGGACAACTACTACTGATTTATGTCCTCTTAGCACAATTCTCCTGCTAGTACAGTATAAAGACTGTTTTATCTAATGTTCTTACCTGTATTCTAGGTTCAAAACTTCATCTGTGTCTGACCAACGCTCAGGTAAAGCCAATCACAGAATGTCCTGAAAAGATATACTGAAATTAATATTTTATATCTGCAAATTTGCTTCATTATTTAGAGTTAATCATTTTGACATGTTTTTTGGATATCAAAGTTGACATTTCACTGAGGCATGTAGAAATTTTGATGAAAAAAGCGACATTATTTCTTGACAACAGCATGTAATAATCAATAACTGCCAAGAAAAATAATTAAAAGTTTGAAATGCAAAGTATGGCATTCTTCTAAACGTTATGCTTTTAGCATTCAAATGTCACCGTCATTTTGGAAAAACAAGAGACAGCACTTAACAAACTGTCAGCATCATTTCAAATTTTGCATTACATTTTTAGACGATTTTTGATTTCAAATTGCTGATCACAAAAGTTATCACTAGCCAGCAATGAATTTTTCATTTTGCAGTTGCATCAGTGACAGCATTTCAATCTTTGAAGCTCTCTTCTCAGAATTCATGTGAACAACCACCAAGTACATACAAACATATGGAATGCAGCCTCAAACAATTCACATATCAGCCCCCCTTCCAAACTCATTATTTACCAGTCTTTAATGTTAATTGTTTCCTTCCTTTTCTCTGCAGCTGTAATCTTTTCAAGCCCAATAAAAGCCGGTTTCAAAGGCCCTCTGTTCAAGTGGGTTAACCCCCTGAACACCTCTGTTAATGAAGTGCGTACGGACACGCGAGCAATGAGGGAAAAAACACTTGAGAGTGAGAGGATTTGAAAAAGTTACAGGTAATGCAGCATGTATAATGAATCCTTAAACAATCAACTTTTTAAAAACTTTTTCTTTACTTTTTTTCCTCGGGTAAAAAAAGCGAATGGAATGCAGAAAATGAATACTTGCACATCCCCCCCCCCCCCCCCCACTAAAAAAATTTAAGTCTGCTAGAGTTGTGAAAAAATAGATTTGTACTAGTAAGTACATCTCAAAGTCTGCTAATTGTTACTATTCCTTGGCAAACAGTTCATCTAAAATCAGCTGGGGTCTTCGGCAACTATGCCATAACCGCATGCTGCCAATAAAATTCAGGGTGAAAAAATGTCTACACAGGATAAGTGGAGCTTCTGTATACGAGACAGGTTCACAATTTCAGACTTAAGATGAACATTTTACTCTAAAAATTTACAGCAAAAACTCATTTCACAACAACCAAATTAATTCATCTGGGTTTTCTCTGATGTTGCTTCTTGGTTGTAATATGCACAATGATTTTTAATTTTTCAACTTGCCTTCAATGCCCTTGGATTGGAACCAACGTTGCCACATGTCTCATCAATATCAAACAGAACAAAAACATCCCCTCTTCATCTTAACCAATTTATCTTAACTTATTAAATTGATTTACCAACAAACAGTGGCACATTTTAATGGTGAAACAGTCCCATTTATTACATGTCTGAACGTTGCTATAATTGCACTATCTGACCTATATTAAATCAGCAATGCACCCATCAATCTACATTAGAAAAAACAATAAAATGAAAACACTAAAATGAAAAAACAGCTGGAGGAAAGGGATAAACTGTTCTATTCAGTGCAATGAATATTTATGTATTGTTTCACTCAGGAAATATATATGTTTTAATAGATGGTTTGGATTAAATACAGGGCACCTTGCACTTGGTGCTATTGAAGAATATGTCTAGAAGGTATTATGTTCAAAGATAAATATCTTTAAAATTTTCAATCACAATGATCCTCTACACTTGATGATCTTTGCTATCAGCGAGAAAAATTACATTCCCAGCAGATTTCACAGCTAAACGGGTGCAATATTAAGGCTTGAATGGCCCCATTTAAAAATGTTTATTACATCCACACTATAAGATGCAGTGTACTTTCAGAGCTTTCCAAAACAGTCTAATTAATGTGTTTTTTTTTTTTCTTAAATAAAATGAGGCTGGCATGCTCCGCCATGTGTAAAGAGAGAGTTTTATCACAAATGACCGCATAGCAACATGACTGTTAAATAAGAAATAAATGAACATGAAAGTGCTCATATTCAATCCATTGCTGAAAAAAAATAGTATTAAACCTTTCAGTATGGGCATCTTTGATCATTTCTCTCTAATAAAACTACAGAAGTTTGGTTTAAGTCCTGGTGTGTACAATAACAACATGATGGCTAAAATAAATAAGCTTACAACAGGACCAGATGTTTTACTGGGGCTAAAAAATGTGGGTCTGGTGTTGTTTTGGTACAACTTTTGAAACACAAGAACCAGTTTTAACAGGTAAACAAAAATTTGGACGAAATATATATATATATATATATTAAGAGCTAGTAAATCGTATATTTTTTAGGTATTTTGAACTGAAAACTGTTTCTGAAATTAACAATTTTGTTGGACTTAAGTAGGCAATTACAGACAATTTATTAGATACTGGTTGTAAATATAAAATCAACACACAGTAAACGAGAGCCACTTCTCAAAAAAAGCTACAGATATCACAAAATGATTTCAACAAACAATACACCTTTTAAATGGCACACAGGAATCAAAAGTCTACATCTCAATGTATACTTCAGAACAACCTGAAAATTTCATTAAAGAGGCTGTAAACAAAAATCAAATTGTAAGTTACATAAAACTCTACCGGACCTACTCGTGGTTTGCATCGCTATACTCTGCAGACCATCTGTCGTATCACGATGGCTGGAAACCTGGGTAAAATCTCGGTCAGGAATTTACTGCTTACTAGTAACCAGCTAATGTGCAAGCTACTACAACCATGTGTGTGTGTGTATGTGTGTGTGTGTGTGTGTATGTGTTGTGGGAGAAAGGGGGTATCTACAAGCGAGAATTGTCACAAAATTTCAGCTGCGTTTGCTTTTGGACTTAGTTTTAATTCCAACCACAAGTTAAGAAATAGCAAAGGAAACAAATAAAACATTTACTAGTATAACAATTGTATATTCTTGCGTAAAAAAAAAAAGACTTATAAAAGTTGTTCACTTGGTCAAGAATTTTAAGTCTGTACAGAAAAACACCCAGGAAAATGAATATTTCTGGTGCAGTATGGCAGTTTGGGCACTTGGACAATTTCAAAAAAAAAATCTATGCTGTACTCCATGGCTAGATCTAAGTCTTGTTATTTTCCGTCTAGACAGAACTCGCCAGACACCAGACGTGTAACCCAGAGACTTAAGGCTCCGTTTTTTAAAACACCAATCAGACGCATTCAGACAGGATATCAAACAGGAATGGTACTTGTCCAAAAATGTCACTCAGGGAAACAATGGAAATCCACCATGATGTTCTCTTGGCTCTTCAAAAAAAAAAATTTTTTTTTTAATAGCCTTTCACCCTTCCCCCAACTCCTCTCCTCCAATATAACACTTCTAAATTAAAATATTACAAGTGCCACTCCCACTCATTATACAAGATGCATTCACAACAGGAATAAGTTAAGCCTTGAAACTGACTAAATGATGTCAGCAAAGAGATCAACATTATGTATGAAGCACCCGTATCTCTCTTGTGTCTTGGAATTTAAGCCGAATTATGTAATTTGGTCAATCAAGGACGTCCACGTCACACAAACTGGGTTTTATAATTTTGAATTCTGGTTTAAGTAATAGAATCATCAGGTATGGTAAAGCTTTTATTTAAAAATAATCTACCGAGCTTTTGGAACAATTTCAATAAAACAACCTGAAATATTTTTAAACAATACTAGGTAAAGTAAACAATGATTCAAAGATATTTTGGAAAATCCAGACATCAAACTTAGGCCATTGTACACAACCCATCCAAGCATTATGCCTACCACCACTTCTACAACATAATAGGGGCCCCAAAAAACATACCAATTGTTCATGGACTAGTAATCGTACTGAATAGATTTATGATCCTTGATTAATGATATATAAATTATCCTCCGATCATTTCACCCCGGGGCTAAGTGCCTGTTAATGTTTAACTTCCCGTGTTATGATAGCAGAAAATAACCACCGTTAACTACAAGGCACCAAATGACCCTGGCAGTTTGCCAAACACCTTACTCGGGTCAACCAACTTTTCTGGTATTTGTTTTTTAAAAAAGTCATAGTACTTAAGGGCGCTTGGTAAACACAATTAGTAAACACACTTAATTCAAACAAATTGAAGAAGTTTTATGAACCCTACTTAAGTTTAGTTTTAGAATATTTCAATAATTTCAAGCACAGAACAAAGTTGTATCTGTACATAAAAAGAGACTTTCAAGGAATTAAATGATATGCCACATTTTCACTGAACACCATAAATAACGGGTACGGTATTTAGAACTTGAAAACAGCTTTCTGCACCTTTATTTTCTAAACAGTTTTGGAGAGGACATTCCTTGAAATAGATATAAAGGGAAAAATAGAGGAAATTTCCAGGAAATTAAATTCTTTCTGAATATCGACCCAGCTAACAGTCTGCGTGTGTTTAAAAATGCAGGTGTATGGAGGACAGAGTCAACACCCTCTTCAAAGCTTACCAATCAGCAGTAATAAAGATATAAAATATTCACAATATGTGGGACTTCCAGTATTTACCTAAGGATGATGAGAAAGCATGCACCTAACATTAAAACTGAACCTCTAATCAGTTTGAACATAAAAAACGTACCAGAGGCATTCTTACTGTAAGAGAACTTTAATTACTGGATGCCAAATGTTTTGGATATGATGTACTGCTGGCATTGAAAAGGATTTTTTTTCAAATTTTAAGGAACTTTGAACATTAGCTACTTCAAGGTTTAGGACCCCCTTCCCATAGGCACTTTTGGTCTATGTAGATTGATCCAACTTTGCGGGGACTCTTGCTGAGTGCAATCAGCCTTACTGAATGACACACCTCCTTTTGTTTCCAATGCAATCAATGTACAATCACCAGCTTTTCTGTATTCTACTAAATGTCAGGAGGAGACGGTCATTCAGTTAAGCTGATTACACTCAGCAAGAATCCCTGCAGAGTTGGATCGATCTACGCTGGTGCCAATAGCAATGTGGTCTAACTCTCTGTCAGCCTTTAAGTAATATGATTAAAATTGAAAGTCTACTCAGTATGAACAATATATTAAAGCAAACCAGAGGCCAGCTTCAATGGGTGTCAAGAGAACACAGATGCATAAAAAACATGTACCATGGGCTAGAGCAGCTAGACCTTTGCCATATGCCAACACATGTGTATTAATTAGTCTGTGATAACTGTCTAAATGCCATATGTCACGGTGGCCAGGCCATGGTGGAATGCAGTGGAAATATTAGTAGATGGGTCATAATTTCTGCTCTGGGAGATATTTCTAAGAAAGTTCATGCATGCTCAAAGATCTTGGATCTAGTCCAACTTGGTGAAGGCATTTGTTCTTTAACATCAAAGCAGAAGACCTTGTTGGTGTAACTGAGGAGAAATATTTCTCAAAATTAACTCACTTGCAACTGCTAAAAATTATGATTTGAAAGGTGTGGAAAATTAACTAGATGTTCATGTCAAAAGATATTACTGCAAAACAACTAAAATAATCATTAAATATTTTACTTATGCAACAACCATCTCTTTGACAAATCTTGACAAACATGAAATACTGCAATAAGTGAGTTGTTTTGGAGTGAATAGTTACCAAATTCTTATTTCTGACATAGAACCAGGCCTAACACAACAATGCAACTATTAATGTGCACTGGTGAACTTCCTGTCTAGAAAGAATTAACCAAACCCTAGGTATTTCCTAAACACTAAGAAATGAGCAATTATTAATTCATATGTAAATGCCTATGAGCTGACACGAAGACTTGTCACACACAATAATGTGTGCACTTGCTGAAGTGCAATTAAGACCTATGATGACACAGCTGAAGAAAACCTTCCAGGCATCAACAGAGGCGTGGTATGCCAAAGATGACTTCAGAATGGAGAGCGGTCTGACTTTCATCCATAAGAAGGCAGTTATAATTTACAAAGGATATATATATATATATATATATATATATATATATATATATAAAGTGTTTGCCTCTTAGGTAAATAAGTTGCTGGACCGAAAGCTTGGCCATCTTGGAAATTAGCTGGCTAGAATGCCTGCCGGGTGGGAAAACTTCTCTGCCCGTTCTGAAAGTTGTCTGCCCCGAGCAGACGGTCCAGCCTTAATTTCTAACACTGTAATATATATATATATATATATATGACCATCCGACGGTTAGTGGCAGCTTTCTGTAGACCTGCAGGATTACGAGGACACCCCGCACTCCTCAGATACTGAAATATGTGCTACGGGCTGATAACACGAGTTAAACAGATTTTCGGTCCAAAGCAGAACATGCTTTAGCATGCCTATAGATAGCAGAACACCAGTTCAAGGGGTTTGGCATCATGCACATGTCCACTGGCATTTCTCCCTTACTGACCAACCCAAAACTGACCAATTAAGCCACTACTTAATGGCATCATTAATGCCATCATTGACACTTACCGAAATTGAGCCAAAACCAAAAGAACAACACCCCATGTAGTCTACATCTCTTTGATACTTTCTACTAAACAATATCTTAGTTCTTTATTTTTCCTTCAGACAGAGTCTTCTTGCAGAGGTTTTGGCTTATACATGTCAAGTAAATATAAGTCCTTAGTGATGTATGTGCAACCCCCTTACTAGTATATATATATATATGTCAAGTAAATATAGTCTGATATAGCAGATACGCCCTCTCTTTTCAGTCATAACCCGTCATAAACCTTTGTGCTTTGCATTCACATCTAATATTAGGGATAATAAACTAAACCATAGCCATTTATGTTGGTACAAACACTCTCATTATATGAGTCATAAAAAAAAAATACACTAGTTAAAAGACAACAATCTGCTCACGTTTAAAATGAAACTGTACATGGAGAATTTTATAGTTAAGCCAAAACAGGTTGTCCAAACGATAAGCTCAATTCCCCAAAATATGACAGACACACACTGGGTTCTGAGATAAGGTCGCAGATTTGACCTTTCAGAAATGAAATACTGAGTAAGTATTTAAAAATACTCACACGAGAGTCAACCCCCAAGCAGTTTGGCAATTCACTACGCCTCAACATGGACTTATTTACATCCCTTATCAGCCTTAACTTCCCTGTGTACGAAATACTCAACTGTGCATCTATTCGGGCGGGTTAGAGTCTGCGTAAGCGTCTGTAAAGTGTCCACTTCGATATTTTTTTGTTCTACTTACGTGTTCCTGTACGCTGTAGACAAACCTTCAGCCATGTTCGGACGTTGAGAGTTTAATGGCGAACAGCCTACAGTCAGGTTATCTGGATGAGTCACTGGGTTTGGACGCATTGCGTTGGCAACCAGGAAGTGTCGCAACTAACACATCTCATCAATGGCACTGTAGTCTCAAATTTTGGAAGATACAGAAAATGGACACAGTAGGCCAACGATTTATATCAAAATTTTATATACCCTAATTATTACTATAATATATTAGTACAAATCTTTTGATAGTATAATTTAAATATCATATTAATGTAAACGCACTTAATGCTCAATAAAATATCTTTTATGCCTTTATTTTTGATCATTTTTATGATGTGATTTATTTTTCTGACTTTTATCTTTTGAATAATGATTAATTCCAATGGTGGGGTGTGATTAAATAATTTAAATCATGTTTAAGGGATTGGGTTTGGTCACTTTAATATAGAGAGCAAGGAAGGAGTGAGGGGCTCCAACAATTTCTCATCAATTTTTTTAAAGGGGGGGGGGGGATAAAAACATTTCAACCCACCTGTATCAAGAACTCTACAGCAATATTTCAGATCTTCCAGTGTTATAAATATTGCACTGGAATTACCAGATATAACCTTCTTTATTTTTGGAACCTAATTTTTATTTTGGGCAATTGTACAGATATGAAGTGACATCAGAATACAATTTTATCTCCCTTTATCAAATTGGTTTTCCAGTTTTCGGTGTGCCATTGATGAAATCTCTCTCTCTCTCATAATTCCGTGGCACAGATTTATTGTCATGGAGATGGTGGGATAATGCCATTAATGAACATGAAATTACAAGCACATAATAGTATGGGGTACCTCTTAAATGATCATCAAAATTTTAGTGGAGTGAAGTGACCTAGATCTAATTTTTTCTTCTAAATTGGTTTTTACTTTTTCAAATCAATAAAGATTTCGAAATGTATCACTTAAAACTGATAACTGTGTCGAGAAATACACCCTGGGTGCCAGGGTTCCAAAGGTGACTCATCCACACAGTGCTGGCCAAGAGTCTCCCGAGTTTAAACTGTGAAAGCGGGGTGCAGATTTTATTAGCAATAACATACCAGTCTTCTTCAGGAGCAATAAATAAATAAATAAATAAAAATCAACAACTTTTCTTGAAATATTTGATTTGGATTTTTGTCCAAAGGTTTCTAGTCCACGCCATTGCAAAGGACACCCTTTATCTGGAGATGGGGAGGACGAATATTTTTTCTTCACTGATAAATTAATTTCAAATAAATTCATAAGAAAACTGTAAGTTAAATAAGCAAAACAGTTCTGCTTTTCATAGCATGCACATTTTATTACACAATTCAAGAAAATAAAACTAAAATTTAGTAACTGCAGTTTCACCTGTTCTGGTTAAAATTAGCAAAATATTCAGTTAGAAATTTAGAATACTTTAATGAAAATTACTAAGTACTTCAACTTTGGCAAACATTTTTAAATTGTAAATGTATAATTTGTTGCTTTACCAAACAATACTTTTTAAAATGCTCTTCAGCAACAATAAAACAATCAAAGTAAGAAAAATAACAAATGTCCACTGTTGACTTTGCTATTGTTGACTTAAAGTCTGGAAATAAAAAGAAAAATGAGAATTTATCAATAAGACTACAAAATAACAATAAACTTAGTTGCGGAATATGAAAATTCAAACTGCATCACTGAAATCAATGATATTAACTGGAAATCTACTTCAATATTTCACACATATTTCTCAAGTGAATTAATGAAATGCAGTAAACAAACAAAAAAGACTTTAACGAAAACTTTTTTTCAGAATTTAAAACAAATATCCTCTAGCACTCTTGTGCTTAAAGAACTCCATAAAACTGCAGTACAACCAGAGTGCAGCACAATGTTATATACTGCGAAACTGCGGCCCCTAACACATAAATAATAAAGATTAAGTTACGTTGTCATGGAAACAATAAATGCCATCGCCAGGCAAAGTTGTCCTGCACTGTCCAAGACACATGGGAAAGAATCCTTCATTGGTCATATACTCATCACGGGAGCCTACATAGAAGTTATCAATAAGATGCATGTTCCAAACTCATCCAAATTAAACAAGACGTAATCTAAATCACATCACCAGATATGAAGATTACAATACAGCCATGCCCCTACTTTCCAGCTGCTATTACCTTTAATGATTTTTTTCCAACATCTCCTGAACACAGTAAGGAAAACTATTTTACAGATAAAATCTGGTTCCCGACATTCCAATGCCCAAGTACAACAGAAAATCAAACCATCAACAGTTACACTTTCTCATCCTCATCAGCTTTGGGTTAATCCCCAGCTTAATGGACCTCATGGCCATCGCTCTGTTAAAATGGCGCTGAGTTTTCGACAACTCCCCGTAGTCATCCAGGTTCGCATCTAAAGACGTGAGAATCCCAACCAAGACTCCTAATACAAGAAACAGGATAATAAATAGGGTATAGTACGTCACTGTGGGATCAGGAGTCATTTCCATCTCGCGCAAATGGGCCTGCGCCGGCTGAAAACCAGGGTTCAGATCGAGCGTGTGACGAAAATGCAAAGCGGCCTCGTGAAAGTGTCCGTACGCTTTGAGGATCTCCCCTAAAGTAAAGTGCTGAAGCCAGGAGTTTTGGTCGGCCGTTTGCAATTCCAAGGATTTTCGCGTGAGAAATATGGCATCGTCCAGGAACTGTAAATTAAAGAGAACTCGTGCCAGGTTCAGAAGCACATCGGGATTGTTAGGAGATATGGAGAGAGCTTTTCTAAAGCATTCTATGGACAATTGGGTGTTGCCTTTTATCCTCCAGTAGTTGCCTATCTGGTTGAAGACTTGGGCTGACCTTGGCTTCTGGCAAATACAAAATGTGAGTGATTTAAATGACAGAACTCTAAATACTACATAATCTACATACATGATATATTTGTAGCCTATTTATGCTACAAATAATACAGGAACATCTTTACTACATAAAATACAGGGAAATACCCTTATTTCACTAGTTTTTAAAAACCTGTGCTTTATAGGTTTTAGTTAATGTAAATTTTGGTATGTTTATCCTCAATTATATATCTTTGTACAACTTCTACACTTTGGTTAGAGTTATTCTTATTAATGCAATATCATCACTTTTGTTATAATTATTATTATTATTATTATTATTATTATTCTGCACGTCACCCCCACCCACCTCTCGCCGTGACTTCCTCAACCGTCTCTCCAGGTCGCTCATGTCCACCTCGGAGCTCCGACTGCCTTTTTTCTTAAATATCATGGCCACCTCAGGCTCGGGAATGTGTATGTGTCCCTTCCTATTGGCTATACCCTGTAGATGATCGTACGGCGTGGTGTTGACAGGTTTCCCGCAGCTCAGGAGGTCGTATTTACTGCTGTGGCCCGCCTGGTGAGGGGTGGAGATGGAGGTAGATTTCGTAGGAGTGTCTGTGGAGGGACTGGAGAAAAAGGTTCAATGGATTACAATTTCAATAAATTCTTAATATATGATACATACAAGTATAATATATTTTCAAGCCTGTAGCCAGCCATTTCAAAGAAAAGGTTATTTTTCTGAAAAAGTGGACTATTTACCATGAATACTTTGTGTGCCTAGATCTAATTTTACCCAAAGTGGGTTTTTTTCATTTTGGACAAAAAGGGTGTTATTTTTTAACTGCCCCAAGCTATAGGCCTGAATTTGAATAGAATAAAAAAAAATACATATTTACATGTTAACAGCTTAATTATTTTTTCAATACTACTAAAAAGTTTTAAATATAATATTACTTTTTGAGTTAAATGGTTTGAAATGAAATTTCATTTAGTAACAGACACGCACGAGAGAGGTGAAATGGAAAGCGAATTACAGACAGGAGGGGGTATGGTAAAACTGCTCAATCAGGACAAAAGGGAAGCAGACAAAATGTGTGACTGACGTTTAAAAAAAACATACCTGTCATTTCAGAAATGACCACTGTTGGCTAGTGTGGTGGAGGAGATTTTTATTTCACATGAATATTTATGTGTGGTCATCAAGAAAACCACTAATAAGGATGGATGAAATTGGACTCAGGAATATAAAAAAATGTAGCTGATTCGTTTTAACTGTAAAACAATGAACGTTCAACCATAACATGCTTTAGTATGGACGCTCGACTTACTTTTCAATTTCAGCTTTACAATCCGCACAGTGCCCTTGCTCCATCTCTAAAACCCACTCTCCGTCTTTAGACACTCTTGCGGTCGTCAAAATATTCAACATAAGATCCTCATCGGGTTTTCTAAGTCCATTATCTTGCGGTTTTTCATCCGTCACCACCTTCCCCTCATCAAAATTCAGTCGCCAGTGACTCGATGTTCGAGAGTTGCTGTTGATTATGTGCATGGAAACGATGTAGAGGGCCATGTACGTCGCACAAGGGACGTCCGTACATGCCATTTTGGTACCGAAACCCCCTGGATTTGTCAAATACCGTTGATGAATGTCACCAAGTTTGACAGCACCTGTTTTTATGACAACAAAGATGGCTGCCCCTATCCCGCACCAATTTGCCGGTCGAATCTTCTGACCACTGATTGGTCGAAATTTTACGTTAGAATTTACACGAGTGGGCATGGTCGTTTTATATTTGGACTTTGCAAGCAATAGATTTTTAGATTCGGGTTTCAAAACTCCGGCAAATTACTTTTGTTTCACAAAGTTTTCGTTCATTTATGTTCATTTATTGGTGAGCTATGATTGACACATAGCAATTTATGTGAGGCAGATTTATGAAACAAGTCCTAGCTCATTGATAATTTCTTTAATAACTTTAAGGAAAAAACTTTTTACTCTGCAAGTTTCTTTATAAACCCATTTTTGTTTCATTTTCCACAGAAATAACTCAACAATTTTGCAGTTCCAGTCAAATGATTTTATAAGCAAATCATGAAAAAAAAAACATATTTCCTTCAACATGTTTCATCTGTTAAGTAAAACAATAATTATATAAATTATGCCACTCTTAATCATTACTATTAATTATTACATTAATGTATTTTTAAAAGCATAAACACACGTCTATCAATTCATATAAAACTATCTTTTGAAAAGGCACAAAATGCACTAAAGTTGGACTAAATCAGTACTTCAAGGCACTATATAGTTGTGTTTATATCTAAACACAAACATATTTTAATTTAATCTACTGCAATGCTAATTAGCTAACATAACCACATACTTCAAAACAAAACTTTTTAGAGTCCCTGTCATTTAAGTCGATCCCTTTCATGTCTGACACATGGCCACTTTAGTACTGTAACAATTACTTACTAGCGATCTAATTTGGGACTATCAAAAGCACCAGGAATGTGTCTTTGCAAAAAGAGAGATAAATATTGGATCAGAGAGGTGATACCACCTACTGGGTATGTACCAACAGCTGGATATATTAGGCACAGACCAGAGAGGTGATACCACCTACTGGGTATGTACCAACAGCTGGATATATTAGGCACAGACCAGAGAGGTGATACCACCTACTGGGTATGTACCAACAGCTGGATATATTAGGCACAGACCAGAGAGGTGATACCACCTACTGGGTATGTACCAACAGCTGGATATATTAGGCACAGACCAGAGAGGTGATACCACCTACTGGGTATGTACCAACAGCTGGATATATTAGGCACAGACCAGAGAGGTGATACCACCTACTGGGTATGTACCAACAGCTGGATATATTAGGCACAGACCAGAGAGGTGATACCACCTACTGGGTATGTACCAACAGCTGGATATATTAGGCACAGACCAGAGAGGTGATACCACCTACTGGGTATGTACCAACAGCTGGATATATTAGGCACAGACCAGAGAGGTGATACCACCTACTGGGTATGTACCAACAGCTGGATATATTAGGCACAGACCAGAGAGGTGATACCACCTACTGGGTATGTACCAACAGCTGGATATATTAGGCACAGACCAGAGAGGTGATACCACCTACTGGGTATGTACCAACAGCTGGATATATTAGGCACAGACCAGAGAGGTGATACCACCTACTGGGTATGTACCAACAGCTGGATATATTAGGCACAGACCAGAGAGGTGATACCACCTACTGGGTATGTACCAACAGCTGGATATATTAGGCACAGACCAGAGAGGTGATACCACCTACTGGGTATGTACCAACAGCTGGATATATTAGGCACAGACCAGAGAGGTGATACCACCTACTGGGTACGTACCAACAGCTGNGGGGGGGGGGGGACGAACAACCCTTTTTGCTTGGAAAAGGACCACTCTGGGTAACATTTGACCTATGTACTTGAGTATTTTAAGGTAAAAGGTCCACTTTTTCAGAAAACGACCCCTCCCCTCTGAAATTGCTGGCTACGGGCCTGCAAGAAGTATAGTCCTTGTTTTATTCGAGAAAATATGATATTAATTAGTGCAATTTGGAAACGGAAATGAAAATTGACTTTATATTTATGATGCAGAGTTTTGAGTTTATGTATAAGAATACAATTCTGACAGTTAAACCTTTGGGAATAAAAGGTTTTATCCTTCCAAGATCTTATAAAATTGAAGTTAATAATGACATAATTTTTATAACCCTGTCAAATTGGTAACAGCATGCACAATAGATTTTGCTGCCTTGTAAATTACTAGGTGACTCCAAATTCTGTATTAGACAATATACGGCCTTAATCAAATTTGAACTTGGAATTAGCCCAGGGCTACCTCATTCAGTAAACATTGCTATCTTAACTGAGACCCATATATGCAAAGTAGCATGTACTATTACAGCGTACTATCGGCTTCTTCAGGTACACTACGTGAGTTGCCACATGTCAGGTGTGTTCAACAGGTGTGCTTTCCCTTTTTTTACTTTGTAGACCTCCGATTTCAAGGTGAGTGGTTATGTTCCAAATTTTTTCAGATTGGGGATAGAGGGAGAGGGGTTCGTGTGTGCGTGTGCGTGTGCGTGTGTGTGTGTGTTAGTGTGTGTGCGTGCATGTGTGTGTGTGCGTGCGTGGTGTGTGTGTTTGAGAGAGAGAGAGGAGAAATGAATTAGAAGTGTAAAGTGTAGAGAGAGCGAGTTGGTGCAGTTTATGCACTGCTATTACATTCTATCACCACACAGGAAGGAAAGGAAGGAAAGGGGTGATTTTGTTAATTTAGAATCCAGCAGAAGAGATAGAGAGAGAAGTAAAGGAATAAAGAGAAGTCACCACATGAGTAGCTCAGTTGATGGACTAGGCATAGACAGGGGCGGATCCAGGATTATATGCGAAGTCGACCCCCTGACCCCCCCCCCCCCCTCTAAATCGGCCACTACATATAAGTGGGAAGGGTCAGAAAGTAGCATGAAATAAATGTAGGCTTCAAAAGTCTGATTATAATTCCTTGGTAGTTATAACTTGTGCTAGTATCCTAGCGTATACGCGTCTAAAAATCCTACAAATACATGCACCATACCACGAGTCCCTTACAAAGTGTCTCGTGGGGATTTAGAGGTGGTAAATATATCAGTGTTTGCCCTGTTAGCAAGCTATTAGTGGATAAGTTTACCCTTAAAGTCGTGGTATTTGTGCACACCTGAAAGCTAAGCTGCCTATACTACGTCAACGAGGTGTCCAATTAAAGCTGTCCAACTACATGTACAAGGCATGGAGTATACTTATTGCTTTTAATTTTTTCTCTTTTAAAAGTTTTTGTATAAGTTGTAATTACGCCCATGTCAAAACCAGGCTCTTCCTCTTTTTTAATAAGTGCCTTGTAATTTGTATTAGTGCAATATAATGTAAACATTCTAGTACAAAAAGCTGAATTTGCCAAAAAAAAAAAAAAAAAAGCTTTTATGGATTTCTTAAATCTACAAGTTTGTCACATTTACAAATGTATTTTATGTTTTTTTAACAGCAGGAAACTTTTTTCTCTAGAATAGAACTACTCAGTTATGCAGCATGTTTACTATACAACCAACAGATAAGTCAATTGCCAGGCCAGGCTTTAATACAGAATATTGTAAATTTGATAAGGTGGAAAGCAAACACAGGCAGTTTTGATATAAAGTAATTTTTTATATGTGCAATACTACTTTAATGTTTCTAGCATCTGTTAATGCAAATATTATTATTATTATTATTATTATTATTATTACACCACCAGTACTACTAATACTAATAATAATATCATAGTATCTCATAACCAGATTCTGTCCCATAAAATCCAGTAAAACAAAGTAAAAGGGGATTCAAATGTCACACATGTGACAGCCGTTTATATTTATGAAGATTTTATGCTGTTAATCCTAGATCTACATATGAATTGAGTAAAATGCAGAAATACATTTTACTCAGGTGAGAAGTCACACAGCAACTTGGTAGGAGTTTAGTTCATAAATTGACCACTAGATGGCAATGTAGGTCATTTGAAACCTGCTTCATCTTCTGAGAAGGATTCAGAGAGATTCAATTTTCTGTTCAATAGGCTTCTATCTAGCTGGACAAATTTAGACTTGTGTTTTGAAACATTGGATCTGAAATTATTTGTATAAGAGTGATGTCAGTGAAAATAAAAACTCCCATCCACATGTAAACACCACATTCTAGTACATGTAATAAAACAATTAAAAAAAGGGAAAAACAAGATAAAAGTCTTATTTATCATTTCAATCTTATTTTGCTTACACATTTAACATGGCTGTAATTTTATGGAATATTTATATGTACATTTTCAATTGCAATTCAGTTAAAACATGCATGTATTCTTCTGAAATGTTGCAAAATTTCATGTAAAGAAGTATATATCTGCATCTTTCATTATATTACATGCATAATCGCTTCCTCTACAGAGCTAAGAGATGAATCAAGAAGTTAACAAGAATCCAGTTACTTTTACTGTTTTGCTTTGGCCTTCGAGTTGAAAATCCATCCAGCTTAGTTGAAAACAATATCAGTAAATGAAATCTAATGCACTGCTCCTCACTATATTTGTTTTACAGCTGATTAAAATTACAGTTCGGTCTTTTTAAATTCCTCTTATGATAGGATAAATATAAGGCTTGTTCCATTTCAATCGCGCATAAAAGCTTTGAATTCTTGAACATGTCTAACAGAGTTTTCTGAGCTGTTATCTACCTTTCATGTCCTAATTCATTGATAATACAACCCCATTACCTGGGGTTATGTAGTCTAGTATTCTAGCTCCACTAACAAGTCCATTATACTATGTTGTTTTAAGGCCTTTAAGATAGAAATCAGTAGTGGACAAACTTTGTCCGCTTGACCAGTTACATTTCAGGCATGTTCACACTGGGTTTTATTAGGATCGCGTCTCTTAACTGTCTCTGATGCAGTGTGGTTTGAGGGGGTTTTCCACAAAAGGTGCACAAAATGTGGTCAAAATTGTTACAGCAAGTTGATTGCAAGTAGTCATTATCACCATGGCAGCAGAACTGGCAGATTTTTTTGTATATCAATCCCCCAGATATTCCATTATTATATATAGATACACTCATTGTACAGAGGAATG